GAAAGTCTCAGACTTTCAGCTCAAGTGGTTCCCTTCAGCAGAAATACACTCCCAAGGGTGTAAGCGTTGCCCAGGGGTTTAAAGTGATGTCATGGTTAAAGGTATCACCTACACCAACAATATCTATGTCACTTTGGGAACTGATCTCTTCTGATAAGAAAGGAGAAACAAGTTTGCATATTATTTCCCAGTCTAGCCTGTTAACTAGTCTCAACAGGGTAGGTCATATTAGAGGTCCTATTTACCTGGTGTTGACAAATATTGTCATGCAGCAAACTGATTAAAATGCCTCTAAAATTAAAAGCAGATGTAACAAAAGCCACAAGAATCTTGTTATTACTTTATAAATAGTAAATTAATATTAATTAAACAAGAGTAAGTTCTCAGCAGTTCATGCAGACTACGCAAGTCCTGCTGTTAATTAATTTTCCACTTTGTGACTGGAGAAAGTTACAATATTGCTCTTCAAGCAAATTGTGACTTTTCACTACGTAACAGAGTTTTACCAAAATCAGTAAAATAATATTATTTCAGTATGAGGGCCAACAGCCACTTAATTATGTAAAAAAACCCCACAACGCACCAAAAAAACACCCCAAAAAACAAGCCCTCTGGATTCTGGAGCCAGCTTTCACTGGGCAGGGGCCCAGCTCCTCTGGGGAGCGGTGGCACTTTGTGGGAAGGGGGCCTCTTCTGAGGGGAACCAAGATGTGGCCACCTGGAGTCATAACAAAACACAGATGACATTTGCAGGCTGAGCCGCATCACACTGCATGATGTTTACACAAGAATGAGGAGCAAAAGCAGATCTGTGTTTCCTCACAAGAAACCCGCTTTATAGATAGGTATCTGTCAAACTCATATATGACTTCCATGATCCTCATGTTCAAAAATTTGTACTGTTAATGCATCTATTCACGTAACATTCTTTTGAGGTATGCAAAATACTATCATCTTAATTTAGACAGAAAATACATCTGATCTGAACTAAAATTCAAGAGAATTTTTCACTATCACCTAGAAGCATGAATCCAAAGATTATACTTGAATGATGCCTTCAGCTGAAAAAGAATTTCAGAACCCATCATGTTTGGGCTTTACAGAGTTCAGTTCACATGCATGCTACTCTGCAATTCAGAATCTCTCTTATGTACAGATTTTGTCTCCTAAAATAAAATTATTTAATTTTTTATTTTTATTTTTTAAGATATACAGTTCGACAAGAAAAAAGCTAGGGTAAGAAAGACTTTGTTACCGCTTCTTTCTTCTATTTTACTTGGCCAGGTATAGAAAGGGGAGAGCCTGGGGGGGCTGGCCTTTGTTTCTCTGCTTTTATTCAATTATATTAAAGATGTGGCTCCACATTTTGGCACAAATTGAAAAAGACTCACCTCTGCAAAGGCTTCAGGGCAAGCAGTTTTGCTGTTCTATCCATTTGTCATCTTATTTTATTTTACTTGACTTCACAGAACAGAAATCAAATCCTGATCAGAAGCTATCACAGTGCGAAGAACAAACTCTTCAAAGATTAGGTGCGTTTAAGCGTGATAAGAAGAACCATTTCTGAACTGCATTTAGCTGCAGAAGTAGCTCAGGATGGAGATACAAGACAGCATACAAATTTTCAGGCAACTACTAGTAATGTTCAATGAGTGATCGCACAACAAAAATAGCAAGAGCAAGGAGATGAAACAAATACTTCATGATCAACCCATTGCCTGAAGATTATTCACCAAAAATATTTGAGAATGGTAACCAAATGATCAAGTGGAATTAACCTGCATGGGAATTTTTAAAAAAGAAAAAGTCAGATGTAGAAGTATTATCATCTAATCACAATAATGAATCTGATCAACTTCCTCTTTAGCTTTTCTTTGGATTGTAGCAACCCCAAAATAAAAGATGGCAGAAATGCAAAGGGGAAATAAGGAAGATAAAGAAATACTCTATCTGACATAAGCCAACACCCACCAGAAGTAGAAAGATACATTATAAAGTCTGCATTACTTTCTTGTCCAAGACAAAAATACTCTGCCTCAGAACCCTCAGTCTTCAAACTCACACATGGGTGGCAGTTTTTCCCATCAACTCTCTCCCTTTGCTTTCACTGGTAGCTAAGTTTAAGACTTATGTTTCTTTATGGGGTGGAAAATCCATGAGGATCAATAGGAAGAATCAAGTGTTTTCACCACTTCCTTCCTTTCCCTTACTAATTAACATTTGATTTGATAAAAATTTGGGAATGGAGTGAATGGAAGGAGAGATGATTACCTAGCTGCAGATTCCAAAGGTATAGAGAACCTCAGTCATGTAAGTAAATACTAGCTGTGCTTGAGAAACCATCTGATGTTCCACTTATCAGAAAAGACTCATGGTGGATGGTGTTCCCAGAAATTCAAGCTTTGAGTATTTTGGGCCAATGAGGTATTTGGCCCAAACTAGGCCTAGCCTGTTGGCTTCATCAGGAGCTAAAGCTCCTTCATCAGGAGCTGGCAACACCCAACCCATCTATGCTGAGCACCTTGCAGGATATGAAAGAATTTGACAGCAGGTCCACCTTCCATATACCCTCACCAGACTAGAAGTGCTAAGGAGCAATAAATTCAGACAATGAAGTGCAGTCACTAACCACCTCAAATCTCTTCTGCATCTGACAAATCCTTTCAGAAATACATCTCTCCTCTCTGAAGAAGAACTCTTGAAGAACTATTAGAAAACAATTAAATGACCTCTCTGATACAGGCAGAATGACGCCAAACATGCACTGCAAGGAATAAAAAAAACTGACTACAAAAAATGTAGTCATCTGCCCCCTTATAATAACTATCATGGGGAAGACGGACTGCAGGAAAATTCTCCCCCTCATTCTTTTTCCAGCACAGTTTATTTCCAAGCTTCTCCACTTGCTTTCCTGCCCACTGTGATGAAGCTTCTTGAGAAGCCATTTTCTTCAGCTGGTGGTCCAAACGTAAGAGCCTTCCTGACTAGCTGTGACCCTTTATCCAGAATGAAAGGATATTTGTGTAAACACATTCTCTTTCTACACTGCTTTTCTTCCTGTGGGAGGCATCATTTTAGGTGTTAATGCCCTCCTCACACCTGGCCTTTAGTGATCTTTAAAAGTAGACTGTTTTCCCAGCCCGCTCCCATAACACACAGGGGCATCAGGATGACCAGCGAGAGACAGGCATCTGCGCAGCTTTGCTTCTTGCTCACCCTCTGCACTAGGAGAAAGCTAGAGAGTCGATTCCTCTATGAATGACAATCTCTAGAATGACCTTAGGTAAAAATTAACAGATTCTGATATGAGAGAGGTGTCTGACAATCAAAAATTTAAAGAAAACAACACTCAGCAACTCATAGTTAAAGTCAAAAAATGAGACGTCACAGATTTCCTTGCAACCGAGAACAGAATTTCCAGTTCTAAACCTATCCTGTCAGAGAGAGAGGAAGTGTCTGTCTACCAGAAAACTGCTGCTTCTCTCTTGGCTATCACAATGAACCTGTTGTCTGTATATGAAATGTTCCCAGTGGTATCCTATGCAAATCCAAGACTGGATTTTTAACCTAGCAGACACTGATTCTCATTATAGTTCACCTTTCCGTAAATATTCCAAATGAATAGCCTGAATTATCACAAAGAAATTATCATGAACTCTCCTAATTTCTCAGAAAATTTGGAAAAATCTATGAGGTCCAAAACTCAAAAGGCAACCTTGAAGAAACAACAAACCTACTTTGAAAACTCTTGCTACTTCTAGGATTAGCTCATATTTTGTAAGCTGGAGCTTTGCAGTTCCAGCCAACCCAGAATCAGAAAGCTGAGGAACAGGAGGTAACTCAGACAAAACACAAGATAAAACTTTCTATTGCAAAATAAAAATTCTCTCTTCCCTTTCTTTCCCAGACCTGATTAAGGTATGGATGAATTAATGACTCAGAAGAGCAAGGAAATTTGAAGTTTGAAGGGTGCCCGCTTCCTGATTGTGGTCATTCATCATCTTCCCAGCCTTTCTGGGAAATATTTTGGGTAACTTAGAAGGACAAGGACCTCTCCATTGCTCTTCCATCTCAGTTACACCTAATTCAACAGTCCAAACTAAGCTAAAATCATTACAGAAAGACATTACATCTCAACAGCCTATACACAAAATAAAAGATTACTATTAAGGCAGTTCTTTGTTGGCAGCCATTACCTTATGATAAGTGCCACACAACTTGATGCTCTAATTAGTAGCAGTCTCTGCAAGGAGCTCAGACCTGTTTAAAACTTAATTTGGAGTTTCCTTTAATCTTTAATGGTATCTTCTGGGTCTAGACACACTCTGTCCCATCTCTGGTATAGTATGTTTCCGGCTAAGCAGTCCTCAGCACTGCCACTAGAATTCATCTGCTGGGGAAGGGGGAGGGAGGGAGAGAAAAAGGCACAGAAAAACATTTTAATCTCATTTTTAAGAAAAAGGGAAGTGCTTAATTGGCCAAGGCCTGCAAATCTCCTCATCCATTTTCCTCCGAGCATGTGCATTCTCCATTCCCTGAACTGAATAGCTCACTGGCAATGCTGATGAATGCTGAGCAAGGAGACAACACTT